CGTAATTGAATGGGAGAAGTTAAGGTTCCTTTGATAGTGATTAATTGCTTTTCACCGGAGGAAGCAACGGGAACTCCGTTTAGTTTATTAGTTTCTTTGGCTGTCATATGGTTTTAGCATATAAACCAAAAGGAAATTAGGGAATAAAAAAGTTCTGATTACAAAAATATAAAAGGATTTTTACTAGGATTTTTGAGAGGTTTAAAACTAAAATTATTTATTTAGTCATGAAAGAAAATATACAAGAAGAAAAACAGAAGAGTCAAGAAGCGAGCAAAACAGACCAAGAAAAATCCTCCGCGGAAAAAGAGCAAAAAAAGCAGGAGGAATATACAACCAAACTCTACCCCGCTTTTTGCCAAGCAGTAGGTGCGGTAATTAAGAATTTAGTAAACTTGCCAGTCGAGGAACCAGCCCGCAGAGCAGCGATTAATGAAGTTGTAGCCAAAATAGGAGAATTTTTGAATAAAGCTAATGATGATGCCGTATTCGGCGAAAAAATCAATCCTTATTTGGAAAACAATAGATTGCTATTCCAACTTCACGAAATCGCTACCCAAAAACTCGCCCAGTTAGTTAATGAAGAGGTAGCCATAACCCCGCTGACTCATACTGTTCGCAAAGATTTGATAGTTAATAAAATTACGGAACAGTTAGAGGAATTTGGCTTAGAAATTAGTGATTTACCCCTCCATAAATATAAAGATTTTATTAATAAACTTGATGAGTTAGTTGCTGGTTCCGAAACTTCTACAACAGATTTTATCCACCTAGAAAAGGAAATAAGTGATTATATTACCGAATACGGAAAAAACCAGACCCGCCAACGAGCCAAAGAACTTGCCGAAATCAAGGCAAAAATCCAAACCGCTAGTGAAAAATTGGGTGTTAGTTTAGATTGGTTAGCGAGTGCCGAATTCAAAAATACCATTTATTTGCCTAATTTGATTATGGTCTCCGAACTATTAACCAGCCTGATAATGCCACCACAAGATGATTATCACAATGATTTGGGAACTTTTTCTCAGTATAATATTAACAAATTAACAACATTTCTAAACTATTACCAAGAAGCCCAGAGTTTGCTTGGTCCGCTCCGCCAAGAAAGAGACGACGCGGTGAGAAAAGCCCAAGGTGTAGACATTCAAAACCAAAAAGCAGTCAAAGCCTATAATTCTCTGCTCGAAAGCGCCCAACTTTCCAAGCGGCCAACCGGGACTCCTATTCACAGAGACCCTTATTTGTGAGGCAATGAACTTATTCGTGAAGAATATAACAATTTGTTAGATGGTAAAATTAAATTTGGAAAAGAGTGAATAGAGGAGCGGCTAACTGAACTTGCTACAACTAAACAAAGTTTAGCCACGCGAGAAGGAGAGATAGACGCAGCCGAAAAACTTTTGGGTTATGACAAAAAATTAGCCGACTTGGCTGATTTATTAGTGGAAAAAAATGAGCGAAAGACAAAGTGAAACAGCGTTCAAGAAGTAATGAACCGTGTAGCTGCCGGCAGAGATTTGACCGAAGATATATCTGAATGAGAAAATAAAAGAGTTGAGTCAGAAGCTGAAAGAGCTAGATTAGAGGCTGACCGAGAAAAAATGGAAGTAGTGGCGGATCGAATAGCAAAAGAAGCAATTGCACCAGCCGATATGGAAACTTTAATCAGTCAAAACCACAATTTAACCAAGGAGTTGGAAGATTTGAAAGGCTATAATCAGAGATTAAAAGCTGAGGTGAATAAATTAAGTTGATTAGTCGAAGAAATTAGAAAAAAAAATGAACTTATTGCCGCTACCGAAAAACTTTTAGGTCAAGATGAGACCACCCACCAAGATTATAAGTTAGTAGATTTACCCACCTTACTAGCAGGGTGAGGAAAAAACACCGTCCAAGAATTAGCCGACCAAGTAGTAAATTACACCTTAACTCCGAGTGAAACTGCGGAATTACAAGCGGCCGAAGCCAATCTACAAAAAGTTTTAGATGCGGTCGCCCACGAAGTTGCTGAGTTAAGTGACAAAAGTGATTTAGAAGACAAAGTCCAGGAAGTATGAGGCTGATATAAAGAAGTCCAAGACAGAAACAAATCATTAATAGACGAAGCGGGGAGGTTAATTGGGAAATTAAAGCAAAAATCGGTCGCTTTAACCAAGGTAGACCAACAAAATCAAGCACTGGAAACATTGCTTTATGAAAATTTTAAATTAACTCCGCTTAACGAATGTGTCGGGAAAAATCAGGAAGAAAAAAACAATAATTGGTGAAAAGAAGCCATTAAACTTTCTTCTTTTATAACTTGGTTGCGAAATGATTATGGCGATAATGTTGGTTATTGAAAAAAGATAATTAATAACTATCAAGATATTACAGCGACCTTAAACATTAAGGTTGATGATTGAGAAGACACTCCTAGCACCATGATAGAGGAGCCAGTCAGAGAGGATACTTCGGAGCATATTGAAGATTGAACAGACACCAAACTTCGCTGCGAAGTTATATCAATTAAAGCCGCATTAGAAGAAGAAGAAGAAGAAGAAGAAGAAGAAGAAGGGAGACTTATATTGTCCTCCCCGCTGGAAGAAGATAGAGAAAGAAAGTTAGAATTAGAAAAGTTAAAAGAAAAACTCGCGAATTATACGGCAGAATTAGAAAAAAGGGTAGTGGCAGCAAATGAGCGGGAAGCCATTCCGGGCTGGAAAAAAAAATTAGGTGAGTTAAGATTTAACCATTTGGAAAAATTAATAGCGGGGGAGAAAGAGTTAGAACAGTTAAGATTTATTGACAGTTCTGGTAAGTGTTGGCTAAATAGCGATTTAACTAATTATTTTGGTCTTGATATTAGTAAGGATTGAAGACGCGATTTGGCATTAAATTATTTTCATATTGATGATACGGGGGGGCTTTTGGCCGAAGCCAAGCGACTAGCAGAAATAAGAAAAGTTTTCCCCAAATTAGTAAAAGATAGTATTATTACTGAGGGACAGCAGGCAAAAGCTATTAGAGAAGTAGACCAAGACTTTTTATCATTACTTGGTAATTTATACAGAAGTTATTTTTTTCTCACTGACCAAGAAAAAAATGATGGCAAAAACGGGCTGGCAAATCTTTTCACCACCCAAGGAGGAATAAATGTTGAAACCTTACGAATATTAAGAGGAAACAAGGAATTAACTGCTACCAAAGCTGCTAACACTAAACTAACTAACGCTCAACAAACCACTGCTCAACAAATTACTGA